AGTGCTTAGGGGCCGGTTTGGGATTGGGTCAAGGAGTGGATGCAATCAGCTGGTTTTCCTGGATGATCTGGTTGATCTAGATCTAAACAGTGACCTGAGATGACGTGATGTTAATTGGCGCTCTAGAAATAAACCCTAATCCATCCTGACCAACTGCTCAATCACTGAGGAACAGCCACATGGACCTACTTATGAACCGAGACCTCAGGAGTCTATGGAGGTTCTTACGTTGTCATGGTGACCGCTGATGGCTGACTCCTCCTCCTTGGACCTCATCAGCTCCACGTCGCGCTCGTAGTGGCTCACCTCGGTCAGCGTGCGAGGGATGTAGGCCTTCTTGAACACCTGAGGGGGCGGAGCCATGGGGTGAGGTCAGGCAGCCAATCAGAGGTGAGCATAGGCAGCTGGAACGTTACCTCCTCGTCCACGCGGTCCTGATCCGATCTCTCCTCCGCCGTCCGCTCGGCTGCGATCACCATGGCCTAACCGGGCCGTCAGACAGAATGGGTTTACGCTCGGCAGCCAAGTTTGGAAAAAGGTTCTGCTGGGTTCTGCTCACCTTGTCCAGGTACTGCTCCATGTTCCTGCTGGTAATGGACGGGTCGGTGACAAAGTCAAACAGCTCCCGGACCGTCATGACCGCCACTCCGTGCTTCACGAAGAAATCTAGGAAAACAGAAACCCACATCACCACACGGAACCGATTGGTCCCGGCCCGGCCCGGCCCGGCCCGGCCCGACTCGGACCCACCGTTTACGTTGCTGCAGTCCTTCCTGAGGAACTCCAGAGCATGAGGGTGGTCGTGTTCCACCGACTGCGACACGTCTATGAAGTAGGCGTCCCCGCCGTGGTACCTGCAGACGGATCAGAACCTCAGAGAAGCCTCATCCAGAACTCAGTAGAAACTTTCTAGTGGAGAGTTCTGCGTACAACATGTTGAACTCGCTGAGGTCGGCGTGCACCAGTCGGGCCTCCTGGAACATCTTCCTCATGTTCTGGACCACCTGAACATACAGTTCCCGGGCCTTGGACTCTGACAGCACCGCGTTCTTCAGCAGCGGAGCTGGTCTGACCCAAACAGCACGAGAACCTTCATCAGAACCCTGCAGCCAGCTGCGGTTCCGCCACCCCTAACCCTCCCCTTCTTACATGTTGTCTTTTCCAATGAAGCCCATCAACAGAACGTGACTCCTGAGCAGCACCGGTTCTGGACTCGGAATCCCTGCCGTCTGCAGCCTGGAACACACAAGAGTCTGGGTTTAAACACTCTGGTAGACTTCACCTACAGTCCTGCCTAAAGTTCTGAGAATGATTCAATGTTAATATTTCCAAAGTCTACTGCTTCAGTTTTTATAACAGTAATCTGCATAAACTCCAGAATGTTCTAAAGAGTGATCAGAGTAACAGCAATTAATTGCAAAGTCAATATTTGCCTAGAAAATGAACTTTATCCCTAAAACACATTTCATGGTGATTGCAGCGCTGCCTTAAAGGAGCAGCTAACATGGTTCCAGAGATTG